GTGTGTGTGTGTGTGTGTGTGTGTGTGTGTGTGTGTGTGTGTGTGTGTTCTGCTACTGCAAGGCTTTTTTTCTTCTCAGCAGTCTTACCACAAAGCATCATGGGAAACCAGTCAGCTGCCTTCAAGATGCTGAGTTGTGTTATGAGTTGTGTTTCGCAGCATGAGAATACACCCCCCCCATACACACACACAAAATAAAGCAGATAATCAAGTTTCTTCACATCAGTTTGTTTGAATCAATCTAATATAAATGTCTAAGTTTCAATAAAAGCCATTGTTCATGTTTCTACTTTTTCCTGAACAAACCTATTTGTTAACATATATACATTTTATCACATAAATTTAACATTTATGAGATGGCTTTTGATATCTGCAAACTAATTAGGTTAAGTGATTAATAATTWCTCCAACTGTCTCTCCTTTAGATTCTGTTTTAATCAAGTATAACATATGTGTGTATGTGGCTAAATATATTGATTATTCAATTTAGAAGGTTTGATGTAAAACTGACAGCGGTGTAAGTTTATAAAAGACAGTTTGAGCCCAACATAGCCATTAATCTGGTCAAAATTAAAAACTTTTCAAACTGAGGTTATTCAAAGAGTCATCTAAAACAGGTAAGATGATAATTATTCATGGACTTACCACTGAACCCCACTTCTAAATATCTAATGTAGAAATCTGTTGGTGTTACATTTTATTATATTGTTGGACTTGAAAAAAATAAAACACATCATTGTTGAGTTTTGAACAGATTTTAAGGTTGCGTTCATACAGTGTTCATCCAGACTCCTGCTCACGGAGACTCAAGCATTATTTATGTAACAGAGAGAAATATACAGACTTTATATAGAAAACAGAACTACTAACAAAAATAATCATCTTTCTTTTATAGCAGCAAAAAAAGAAGAAACTAAAAGAAAAAAATATGTAATTAGGTCTTTCAAATAACAAGGCATGTTATATATAATACACTGTGTATACTTTGCTTTCCCATTCTTTAAATAGTCTTGATTTACTCCAAGAAAATCAAAGTTTATAGGCATCTCTCTCCTTCGCCGTTACCACACAAAGCACTAGAGGCAGAGCCAGACAGACAGAGCTCAGACAGGTTGGACTGACTGTATGGCTGTTCTGTTTTCACCATCAAACAACCAAAAACAAGGGGGAAAAAATGTTGCATTTCAGCATTCGTTCAGTGATCGGGACGGTGGAATCAAACACGGCGGCTACAGGGGGAAAAAAGTGCAAAGATTAAACTCTGGTGAGTGGCTCAGCCTAGAAGTTAAAGACAAAGTAAAAAAAAAACACTCAGTATTAAAGCTGATGTTTCCAGCATTAAGTATAAACCAGACAAACAGAAAATAAGAACCAGAATAAACACTGAGATGACCTTTTTAAAGAAAAAAAAACACCCGTCTTTCACACCATCTGTCCCACACACAGTCCAGTTTACTCTGTAACTTCTCCCACAACAGCAAATAAAAAACTTTCATCTTTTGGAAATTAAATGTCCTGTACAGACACAAGCTCAAAAAATAAATATGCACAGCTCTATCTTTCTTTTGCAACACAACTCCACTGATTTTAGTTGCTGCCATTAAAAAAAAACTGCTAAATTGTGTGCAAGTTCTGTGCAACATCAGGATGCTTCTGGCTCAAACATTAAAACAAGAATGATTTTAGTTGAAATCAACTCACATTCATTACTTTTTTTTAAAATGGAAAACAACATTTTAGGTCACAAGGTGAAATCAAAAATTAAGAACTCAAATCTTCCGGCAGGCCAAACCGAGTGGCCGTGTTTTCTGAACATTCAGCTTCAAAGGCTTGGGACATTGATGTCGAAATAAAYGCTGCTTGTGCAAAACAGGAAAATCTCACATGCTTCTTTACTGACCGAGCACAAGGCTTTAGCTTAAAGATGTTTTCACACATTTAAAGATTTAAAGTCCTAAAACAGAAAGAAACAAAAGAAGAAGAAGAAAAAAGACACAGACATCTGGCCATGCATTGGGAAATACATCCCTGACCTGCTGGGAAAACGAAGAGCTCGAGCGGTTTGTGCAGAGCTACACTTTGGCGTTTCACTCATGCGTATTGCTTCATGCAAACCTCCCCTTTTTTATGTTTGTCCTTGAACTCCACTTGTGTCCTTTTATTCAATCCACACAATTTATCGTCCTCAYGGCTCAGAACGATCTCATCCAAACTCATTTGCTATAATTTGCTCGTTTTGGTCTTAGCATCACCAAGACTAGAGTGGAATCAATCCATAAAAAACTCTTCAGCTTATCGATTTTACCTAAAACATAGAAGGAACTGGTTTAAGTGAAGTTAAACTCAGCAATTTCACTTCCCCATCCACACTTATGCTACTTCTGCAGCTGCTAACCCCCAGCAGCTGATACTGTTTCCTGTTTTAAAGTCACAGAAAATCCTTAAAAAAAGCCAATAACAAACCAGGTCAATCTCTCAGTCCAACTCGAGCCACACCACAATCCAACTGTTGCTACACTTGCCAGTCATCAACACAAACTGGCCCACATTCAGACCCGAAGTTTAATCCGAACTGGCGACTGTTTGGTGAGCTGCGGCCAGAACAAAGCCGAGCGTGGTGACAACCAGCTGCGCTTTAAAGGAACTTGGATTGAAGTTAAAATGTGAATGTCCAAACTTACAAATAAAAAAAATTAAATCCTGCTATACAAAAACTTAATCACGGCATCTGAGAAATGTGACTTTTTTAACTCTCAGCAACAATAAGCGCTTTTCTCCTCTAAATTCACAACTCCCTCTTTTCTCCAACAAACACCCATACAGAACAGTAAAGTCWTCTGCTCTCCTTTTTACTGATCAGATTTCATTTGGCCCATTGGACTGAAACAAGACAAAAACACGACTAGAAGCTCAGACCGCTGCTTGAGAAAACGAGTCACAAAACAGAAGCTCAACACAATCTCTGGTGTCGTTTTACTGGAAGAAACRGTGTCCGGTAACTCCATCCTGCTGACCTCCTCCTCAAACAAATCAAACTCCAAACTGCAAAAAGGCAACCTAAAGTAAACGCTTTCCTTTCTGAACCCTGTAACGCACTTCGCAACGGCGGCTCGATCCCACGAGCCGTTTTAAGGACAAACATTGTGCCGACAGCATTGTTAAAAGCAAATAAAGCTCGGTTTGTGTCTTCTCTGCTTTTCTAACATGCAGCATGTAGGTTAGTGAGGATTAGTCMGAACATAAAAAACAATATTGGGATTGTAATGCCCCTTGTACTGCAGACATTGCACCTTGCTCTTTCTTTATGTGGAAATTTTACCCAGCAAGTGTGGCGTTCACTTCCAACATATTAGCTTTATGCTCACACTCTATATTTCTGAGCAGATCATACGATCTATATCATATTTGCCATGCAGTGAAGATAAAAACACACTCCTGCCACATGGAAGAAAGCAAAATATTAGCATTCAGCTTGGGGCACACAAAATAGATAATTTCCCCCCATCAGAAACCAGGCTTTGAGCTCACAAATGCTTCTTCCAAAAGTCTTTAGAGTCTTAAAGCTAGTGTCGAGAAGCTGGAAAAGTCCTGCAGAGCTGAGTTTGTTGTCCCGGTTCTTTTGGTGTCTCCAGGTTAGCATCATCAGCTTCAATAAGACGAAGGTCAATCAAGTCAACTCCAGGGTGAGGAAGAACGATTTTCAGCATTTTTTTTTTCTTTTTAAATGATTGCAGCTTTAAAGAATAACGTTCATCAGCAGTGCTCGTACTGTAGGTCAGGTGTTTATTTGACGGTTCGCTAAAGATGAAGAGTGCAAGTGAGGATTCCAAAAGCACCTCCTTAAAGCCCTGAGAGACAGATGCAACCTTTTTTCTTAAACGAACAAACACATTTCACCTTCCTGATGGGTCGTTTGAAGGTCCGTGTGGGCTAGGAGGGTGGGAGTTTTGCTTATGGCTGAGGAAGCACTGCGACCTGGAGGATTTCTGATTGATAAGTTGGTCTGACTCGAGTCTGGCTCCAGAGCAAGCTGATGATAAAATAAAAATAAAAAGTTCAGATGGAGGCACAAAGAAGTCCCATCCAGGAATCAGTTCAACGGTCGGTTCAGTCGTTTCTGCAGGAACTCGGACCAAATCACAGAGCAGACTCGTTTTCCAGTTGACAGGAAGTGGTGGCGGCGGTGGTTTTGCCCTCCTTGGTGAGCGTCAGGAAGCTGGGTTTCTCTACCACCACGGTGACCGCCCCTTCGTTGATGCTGGGATTTTCCAGCATCGTCAAGGTCTGTTTCTCCGACGCTTTGGAGTCCTTATCTCTGCAAATCATAATGAAAGTCAATCAGAGCTGTAGTTTGAAATGATAAAYCAGCCTTTTAAGAAAACAAAAAGGGAAGCCAGCTGCTAGCTGCTCAGATAGATGCAAGAGTCATTTCCCCGAGGTGCTACAGTTCCGACTCAAAGATGCCGTGTGAAAAGGTCTAAAGTGAAAGAAGAGGCGGCATGCTCACCCATTGTTCGGCGTCGGGTAAATAACCAAGAAACAGGCAGTGAAAAACCCGAGAAGGGAGCCCCCAGAGGCCACCATGGGAATGACTCGAACGCTGCCAACAGCCTTCACCACAGCACCCAGAGCTGAGGCCACCAGTATCTGACTGATGTACACCTGCAARACCACATCGTTTAAATCAGGGGTCTGCAACCTTTACGATCAAAAGACCCATTTAAGCTACTTGACGCACTAATAAAATGTGTTCAGAGCCACAAAGCRAGCTACATCTGCAATTATCCGTGGTGGTCCGTGGGCCTTTTCGAGAACCTTTACAGCCAGTGGAGGTGACATTACAAAACATATAAATATTTTGTGAATTTTGTTATTTATTATTATTTTTACACATCAGGAAAAATGAAAAGACCAGATTCGTGTAAACAAGAAAATACTGTACATAGTTTATTCCGAATTTTATAAAAACTAATACAACTGAACTATTCAGGCATATTTTTTATTAACTCTTCTTATTATGTAGTTTTTAAATTCTTTAAAGGTAATTCTGATGGATTTGAGAAAAAGATCAAAGAAAGAAGTTGGATTTTTTAAGTAAACAGGTTAACATGAGCTAATCAACAGGTTTTACTTTTTGTATTAGTAGTATTGATCACATATTTGCATGCTCATTGATTTCTTTTGTAGGTAAATGATGCTGTTATGTTTTCAAAGAGTCGCTGCAGAGGGACCAAACAGCCACATGTGGCCCCAGAGCCGCAGGTTGCAGACCCCTGATTTAAACAGTTCCTACTAATTAACTACTGAAACCACAGAGTATGTTTACGTTCTGCTCAGTAACAACCTTAAATCAGAGTTTACAGATTAACCGTGAACACCCACCTGACATGATAGGATGGCACAGTCGATACCAAATCCTCTGCGGGAGTTACCAGGACTGTGCTGAACGTACTGCAGAAGAGAGAGAGAGAAATTTCCATTTCTAAATAACAATTGAAAATATGCTGAAGTCACTTTGCTCTGTCCAAGAAGCAGGTTAATGTTACAAATGAAGCAGAACAGAGAATGTTTTGACTGAAAACAAATTTTCAGTACCTCTTTCATTTCRTGATATTGTCCAAGCAGAGCATAAGGACAGTAGGAGATACTCATGCAGATGATCCCCATGGTGCTGATCATTACCATGGCCACGTATACATTAGGGAAGATAGCCATGACAGCAGTTCCTATAAAGAAAAAAAGAGAGAAAATTGACTAAAATGACCCAATAAGTTCTTTGTGATTCTGATGTTCCGCTGTGGTTCTTACCTATTGAGAATCCGAGTGTTCCCAGGATGTAAATAACTTTAATGCTCAGGTCAAAGTTGTCCAGATACTTCTGAAGAACAGCTGGAAAGGAGGATAGTTAACAGTTATCGGCCATATTTAAACTTAGAAAACTTTAAAGTTGCGAGTGTCGTTACCTGAGCATGTAGCTGAGGTCATAGCATATATAACCAAGCCCCAGCATCCCATTTGAACTCCTTTGTGATAATTATCCAATGAGGTTGAGTTGGTAAGAGCCTGCAAAAGAGAGAAAAAAAATTACTTGAGCCACCAGATATACACCTAGAGACAACTTGCCATGACACTGAACAAAATAAATATCTGGGAATGTTAAGAGAAAATGTTACAAATGTATTAAAAAATATAAAAACAAATCACAGTCCACTGCTTCTCTCTAAGTGTATTTAATGTAGTAGTTTCGTACAGTAGGATCTCCATTGTAGATGACTTGTCCCATAAAATCGGTGAAGAAGACGGCCTGTGCTATGATGGAGAACCATGTCAGAAGGTGGCAGGCGCACAGACGAAGCAGCTCCGGTGGCATCTTCAGCATGGAGAGCCACAGCAGCCGAACAGTGGTCTCAACCTGACCGCACAGAATAACATCAGTAAAAGGGCTGTAACTTCAGAATATAGTTATAATAAATAAATA